AGGTTGGCATTGGCCCACCTCACAAGCGTGGTGGGCCTTCTGGATCCCATCCCTTCCCTCCAGCATATCAACCGAGCCACACAGCTTGGTATCGTTGGCAAACTTGCTGAGGGTACACTCAATCCCACTGTCCATCTCACTGACAAAGATATTGAACAAGACAGGGCCCAACACCATTCCCTGAGGGACACCACTCGTTACTGCTTTCCAACTGGACACTGAGCCGTTTACCGCAACTCTTTGTGTAAGGCCAGCCAGCCAGTTCTTTATCCACTGAGTGGTCCATCTATCAAATTGATGTCTCTCCAATTTAGAGACATCCTCCTTCTCCTCCTCCATCCTTGGTTCCTTGGGCAGACAGAGGACAGGGGGCAGGATCCAGCACCCCTCTCACCTGCCACTTAATGCAGTCATGTCAGTGTGCAAAGCAGCAGCAGGTACGGCAACACTAGGAGCTGCAGACCTGCATAGTCTACTTTTGGGTAATGATTGTATGTAAATGTCTACACAACAATGTACCCAGAGATATCACACTCTCCCAGGACAGGGAATATATGACCCCTTCAAAATGAGCACACAACAAGACCAGGACATGGGAAAGCCAAGCCTGGCTGCACTGTGGAGATAGTATCCAAAGCAGGAAAACTCTCCCAAGAGAAATGTATCTGTAGTTTCAGGGAAGGAAGTACCTTTAAATGCCTCATATCTGAGATAACTTTAAAAGCTCCTTGACTTGAAAGTGCAAAAGATGAGGCACCACAGGGCGAGGCTCTCACCTGAGGACACAGGGGATGTTCTGACCCTCTAAGGATGTGCAGCACACTCTTCCCTGAGCTGGTTGTGCTGCTGCTCCAGCAGACCCACCAACCAGACCTGGGCCCAGCAAAGCTGTCTTACATTTTGACCTGGCAGAGCCCAGAGCTCCCAGGTACCACAGCTCACTGCCACATAAAGCCTGGGCAGCCTGGGGGCTGAGGCCGTGTGCTCTGCACTTCAGTTCTGGTGACAGCTCAGTGCTCAGTTCACCACAAACCATGACTTGCTTTTGAATAAATGTAGATGAGACCACACATGCACAAACATACTGAAGTCTGTGTTTCTGAGCCTCTGGCCCTGCTGTTTCTATGCTTGATACCTCCCTGAGTGCTGCAGAGGGGGTGAATCTAAGCCACCCAAAAGGAAAAGAGTAAGTATCTGTGAACCTAGGTAATGCTGCTGTGCAGTTTTCAGTGTGTGACTCTAGAAGCTGATCCTCCATCTCGGGTTTGATCAGCTGGTGTGAAGGCTGGAGTATAAAACGGTCCAAAGTCCCTTTTGGCAGAATGCATCTCAGAGTTGTGGCTTTGAACCACCCAAAGGGCTGTTTTAATTTGGCCCTGTGAGCTCACATGGAAGGATACACACATCACCACCCCGCTCGGGAGGTACATCTCAATGACACTGAATGCTGGTTCCATGATGGGTTTAACCTTTTGCTTTAAAAACAATCATCACCATACGACATGAACACAGTGTAGGGGAAGAGGAGAGTTGAAAAATAACATCTAAAAATACCTGCCTGTAAAAATTCAGCCCCTCCAGGTTACCAAAGTCTAATTAAAGGGATGTCGCAGTTGCTGGCTCTGAGATGCCTTTGATCCAAAAGCAATTCCTTTGTCTGACCACGTCTCTCAAGCTCTTTTGATGGCTTTAGTCCTGCTTCTCTCCTTTGTGTTTCCAAGGGTAGATGAGCTCTCCAAGGAACAGCTTCTTGCAGAGAGATGTCCAGGAATCCTTGGGGTAACAGCTGTAGGTTGGCAGCCTGTATGTCTGTACCACGCTGCCATATGAGAGAGGGTTGATCTACATGGAGAAGGAAGAGGGGTAGCAGCAGTAAGAATGTGTTGTAGTAAGATGCGCAGGCAGCTGAGGAGGGCAAGTGTAACTTTTGTATAGCACTGGCCTCTTAAAACATCAATACTGCTACTCACAAAGTATAAGAACCCCTCTCTGGATAGCTAAAGCTGTTTAGCCTTGTACAGCATCCTGAAACATGAACAAATCGAGCTTGGCAAAGGAGTATTGTTAGAATCATTTTCCAGCAGAGAAGCAGGCATGAGCAGCAGCAGGATTTGGGAGTGATGCTCATTACAGGTGGGAGCAGAACTGTCACTTTTTGAGTTAGGAGGTTGCAGGGGATGGCGGGATGGAGACCTCCCACCACTACCAGCAACACTCCATTGGGGTGCATCATGACACTTAGGAACTCCTCTAGAACATGCCAGTTAAGCCATAGCTCTTATGAACCTACTGCTTCAGTGTGCCTTCAGCCCACAGCTATGCTTTAAGCTACCCCTGGTATCACCATATAATCTCCCCATGGAATGGAGTCCGAGCAGACAGGATCCATACCACGGAATGCCACTTTAAGGCTCCTTGGCTGAGTTCATCTTAAATTTGATGTCAACCACCATCCCAAGAATGACCCTTGTGGCCTCTGATTATGGTCACAAAGTTGCTGTATTGACCTTCTGAAGCTGGGTGAGGCAGGCAGACGTGTTAGCTGGACAAGGGGAGACAGAAGCACATCAGATGTGGGAAAATACTCCAGTGAAGCACTTCAGGGTAGTCCAGAGGATTGATCCAGTCTGGCCAACATCTGATGCATGAAAAGGATACACAGCAATAGATTGTCTCCAAAAGAGTAAAGAGATTACATAGAAACGGTGGGTTGCAGAAAACAGATGAGAGATGCCAAAGTGAGACTTACAGAGATAGAGGAAGCTTGGACAGGGAGAAATGGAAGGACATCCTCCTCTAGTGAAAGGGCCCAGCTATGCTATGCTGGTCGCAACCAAGCAGCTGTGCGAAAAGAGTCTATAATTCATAGTAGAAAATCCAGCCATGAAAAGGAAAGAGAGACAGCAAAACCCAGCCAGACAGTCAACTACTTTGGCAACAGCTGAATATTTCTTCTTTCTACTGAAGAAAAACCAGTTTCCTGGGAGTTTGCCTGTGCCACCAGCTTGCTCCAGCTCTCTGGTGCTCATGGAGCAGGGGGTTGAACTCAGAGAGCCCGCAGAGGTAGAGCTCTGGGAAAGGGTGATTAAGCAAAGATGTCATTAGAACATTATGGATGTCATTATGGGACATTCTGCATGATTCTAACTGACCTCATGTATTGTGGTCATAGAAAGCTACAAACCCAGAAAAAATAGAAAAAGACCAAAGAAACTTGTACCCAAAACAAACAATGGTAAAATCTGAGTAACTATATCTGCCTGTTTCCTCAGCTGTAGGCAAACCAGGATGTTTTAAGTGCAAACATGCTGGGGGAGGATAGGAACGGCAGCTTTACAACGGAGATACACAGTGTGTGTTCCTTTGACTATCAGCTATGTGGGCTGGAAGGTTTGGACACATTTCTCGTTGAAAACCATCCCAAGGCAGAGGGGTGATGCTGTTGCCGACAGAACAGTAACAAGATGGTTTTGTACCCAGCACAACGTGTATGTCTGCATCTCCCATTATAAACGCAAACAAGCACCATAAAAAGCAACCATTTATTAGCCAAGTGGCAATATCAATTCCTTTTATGCCATTTCCATAGTCCAAAGCTATAATATAACCCTGATATAATAGACATCCTTTGTTCTATAATGGAGCTGTTCCCTTTTCCCTTCCTCCTTCACTTTCAAAGCAATTGCAGAAGAACCTAGCAGAAGGTATTACAGATGAATCAAACTCATTGTGTCTTCTCACTGGCCTATCAGTTCACTTGAGCTACACTGTCAGGCATTCTTCTTCTTGTGCACCAAAATAAATGATTTTAAACACTACTGAGAATACTGAGCTATGGAAGACTTCTTGGAGAAAATGAAGGAGCACTTGGAATGGAAATATCATCCTCTGCCTCAAAAGCAGCATTTCTAATTTCTAATCCATTACCAGCACCCAAAGGACAGTTGTGAATGTATCAGTGACCTACAGCTTGAATCATTTGGGGCACAGTTCCATGCAAACAGCCTTCCTGCCATCAAGCATGGCTCCAGAGAGCCACCATATGGGCAAGGGACAAACCCACTGCAAAACTTCTAGAGAGGAACATCATCATGCACCAGAAATAAGAATTTTAGCCTATCACTTAAAAATAGGCTTTTTAGATTGTCCTCTCACAAGACCCATGATGGATTTCTGACACAAACTCATTTTTCATTTTCACCAGCACAAAGAGAGAAAAAAGTGCCTTTACTGACTCTCTGCTCATTATTATTTGAACAGAAGGCCTAGAGAGACATCAACTAAAGCACTTCACCTCTTGAGATGATTACTTACGCTATATTCTAGATAACAAATGGATCTTTCTGTAGTGGTCCAAAGAAAATTCATCATGTTCCTATGACTCACTGGCTCTGCTCTTTAAGCTGTGATCTTTTTCCTCTGGAGGAGCTATCCACCTCATCTCACAAACACGCTGATGCCAAATTCTCTGCTCAGCAGCTTCTGTGCCTCATTTTGGTGTCTGATTTCCTTTTTCTGGAGTCTTTTGGCCATGGAGGATAGCAGATTTTGGTTCTTACACCACTACCCTACCCAAAGACAGGAACTGGGACGACAGCATGCTTGGGAAATGCTCCTTTTGCCCTAGAAGACATCTGTTGGAGGGATTCCATTTTGAATTGCTGCTAGCTGGTGTGCTGCTTCCATGCTAACCTGACCTCTGCTGAAACAGGGCTGGACCGGAGATGGAAAAAGGAAAAGAACTGGGAACAGTTAATTCCTTCCCACATGCTCCCCAGCGTCCAAGTGTTTGTTATAAATTCCATACACCCCTTGCAGGCTCTCCTCCTGGGATGCAAAGAGCCAGAACAGCAATCCTGTGGTACTGTGCAAAGTCAGGAAATGGAATCTCATGATGAGAGCTTCACTGCTGCCATCACATCATTTCTTTCCTTTAGCATCTCAGACGACAGAGCATGGAAATGGGAGATTACAAAAGCACAGGTAAGTTTTTCCTATACTCCTTGCCAGAGCAGCTCAGGAGAACAACAGAAGGCCCTTCCCTCTCGTCTCACCCAGGCACTCATCCTGCCAGCATCACGGAGCAACTAAGGCCTTTCAGCACATCTGGAGGGGAAGACCTTTTACTGGTCCTTCATTCTGCATGGCTTAGCTGCTTCCTTTTGCTTCTCTCAGTGCTCAGCAATTATTAAGATGAAGCTGCACAGGGCTAGGAAGGAAGGTGATAACGACAAGAAGTCTTTATTCCAGCAGTAGCAGAGCTCCATGTTGCTTATACCTTTCACATTTCCTTTCACACCATGCAGGACTCTCTAAACTGAGGACTCAAGCAGGATATTAAAAAGAACAGAAAGCAGACGCCAGTCACTGCAATGTGAAATGTATTTCCCTTGTTTCAGCATTTTACAGCTGAAATGTTTAAGTGGGGCCTTTCAGTGGGGCCAGTTTCAGAACTACTACAGAAGGGAAAAAAAGGACCTTAAGGCTGGTCTGAGGGAAGCCTGCAGCAGGGAATGGCACAAGGGCACATGTGGCTTACCTGCATAAGGAGGCGAAGAGGTTTTCCATCCTGCTGCTCAAGGACTCTGAACTTCACACCAGCTGAAATGAAACAAAACAAGGAAACCAAATCCATGCTTAGAGAAAAGACCATGCCATCTGCTGCTCAGCTCTGCTGGCTGAGCACTGATTTCCTAGAAATGGAGCCTTCAGCCTCTCTTGATTTGTGAACCCTTACACATTTTCAGCGGGAAGGACAGATCCTCTCTACAGTGGTTTTAAGCAAGACAAATGATGTGTTTCTCTTAGCGCCATTAAAACCAGCTTGAAAACACAGTCCTAAAGCTAGAACAAAGCCTAGAAATCAGCCAGCCAGGCCTAATGATGACAAAGGGACCGGAAAAAACTTTCTCTTTTCCCAAACTGTCATATGAATGGGGACTCCCTGTAAACAGGAGGCAGAGAACTCACCTTGAACTTGTGCTCATGTGGATACAGCACATGTGCAAATCTCTCCCTCTTTCAGACTAAGGGAGGAAAGGAATGGCCTAGAGGCATTAAAAACAGCTCAAAACAATCACTATTAATCCCAGCATTCAGATGTTTTTAACATGCTAACAACCCCATCAACATCACATTTATGTTTCCTCTTGGATTTGCTACATTCCCAACACTGTAAAGATAAATAGGAAAGCTTTGGATTCCAGCAGTGACATAGAGCACATAAACATTTAATGCAATGTTTCAAACAAAGGTAACAACTAGAACTAGAGAGGCATTTTGCTTTGCAAGGTCTCAAATCCCTTCACAGAAGTAAAACCAATCCATCTTCTGCAAACCTGAACCAGCCAATGTGCCCCCATTGTTCCTTTCTACAGGTAAGATGATGAGGCAAGAGTAGTAAAGTGATCTGCACCAGATCAAACAGTGGCTCAGGAGTACACATAGAAACAAAATTCTACCTGTGCGTGCTCTTCCATATTTGAACTCCAAACTTCCTAAAATTTTCTTCAAGCTTTGAATGAATTAAAACCATACAGTTTACTCCTGGGAGAGAATTCTCTTGTCTAGCAGGGAGATTGAGTTTAAGCCCTATCCCCAGATCATAAAGCCTTTTCTGTACAATACAAGAAGAATTTATCTGCATTCTGCTGCACCATATTGAAACATGGCCTTCCACAGTGGCTCCAGAAAGGTGTTTGAGCAGCCTGGGTCTCAATAAGCAAATGTGCTGGATGATGAAAAGTGTTGAAGGTGATTCATTGAGTTTTGGCTACGAGGAAGTGTCTAATCCACTCCAGCAACTACTCTTCAGGCAGGCAGTGTGTCACAGAGAGACAGAAGCACTGAAGCTTCAGGTCCATCAGAGCAGAAAACCTTGCTTCTGTCATGGCCACACACATCCCTGTTAAAGCTGCAAGCCAACAATCTCTTAGATCATGTAATTGTTCAAGAGCCTTAAACTTCTAAGAAAGTACATGCACAAAAAAGCTACAAATTTAGTTTAGAATGACCTGTGGATTACCAGGATGCTCAGGAGTCTGCACAGAAAAAGCAGGAAAGCTCAATCTACTGCAGATTACTCTAGGAGAGAAGAGCCCTAAACTATTCTATGATTGCCATCCAGCTCCAGAGCTCAGGGTTCTGTTTCTTGGGTACACAGGAGAGGTCAGGACATGAACTCATTTGCTCTGTTTCGTATGTCAGTGTACTAAAGCAAGCTCACTGCTTGTTTGGACTCCAGTAATCATGGAGACACCACCAGGACAGGTCCTACAAAACTATCACAAAACTTGCCCCAAAATCTGTGATGTGAATATTGGGAAAGAGAAGTACAGAGAAAATGAACTGACCTCTTTGTGATCAAACAGCATGTTTGTAACACGTGTGTGGGCAGAGCTGGAGACCCCTGAACCTTACTGCTACACCTTACTTCACACTATGAATCAACATCACCGTGTACCCATCCCAACCAAGGTGGCATCCCTTGAGCTGACACTGGGCAGACAGACCTCTTGAGGAGAGGACATCAGCTTTGATATATGTGCAAAAGGCTTTTTAAAGTCCAAAGTATTTCACTTGACGTGTGGAAAGGAAGCATGGATTTTGTTTCTGGCGTGTGGATGGATCATTCACCTGTCCTGGCCCAGGCTTCACCAATGCAATTTTGTCAGTTCAGAAACTGAGTCAAAGAACTTGGAGGCCACATGCCACGACTGAACTGAACTGAACTTAAACACTGCAGTAACCCCTTGCTGCTGGGAAAAGCTATCCATTCATGTCAGCAGAACCATCTTGACAATGCCTGTAAAATCAGCTGCCATAACATATGTCAGAGCATGACTGATCCAAGTTCTGAATGTGAACAGGGAGGCAAAACCTAGGCAGTGAGGACATCAAGCGATGTGCACTCTCTAAAGTACTTTGAATGTGATTCAACTGCTCCATCTGTTACCACTGCAATGCCATGTTTCTGGGGCAGGAACACAGGCTGCAGACATTTTCAGAGATGCCTCTTCATCCTGCAGTGTTCTCCCTTCAAATGTTTGAGAGGAGCCAACAAATAGCCAACAAAGAAAGTAAGTCAGACAACAAACTCAGCTGAGAAGACAATCCTTTGTCTGGGTGGAGGCTTACTACCCTGCAGTAGGTAGCTGGCTGATCTAAGACTGATGGGAATATATGGCCTTACATCTCTCAGTGGCAACAAGACTTCCCTCTACACTACAACCTGCTGTTTAATGAGACAGTTGTCTTCAACAGCATCTCCTGTTCTCCAAAGACAGACCTGAAGGGTTAAGAAGTTTCTGCCAGTAAATTCATAGGAACCTACTGAAAGCACACATGGAAAAGCAACAGAGCTGGTAACATGGCTCAGCTATTCCTTCCCAAAATCAAGCCAGGCACCTCTCTGACTAGTCTGGATTTAGTGATGATCAAGCTCTCACATTTTAAATTCTTGCTTCCTGCTCTTTAAATGGATATGAGATAATAATATAGTGCTTGATTTTCACTAGATTAACCAGTTAAACCCATTCAAAAAGGACCCTTTACTCTGGTGCCAACCATGGTTGATGCTTACCCAAAGTGGCAAAAAAATTAGTTTCAAAATGGTGACAGATTAGAATCAAAAAGCGAACAATTATCTAAAATCTGTGCAGAGTTCTGAAGTTAATCCAACCCCTCAGCTCAGGACTTCTCTTAGTCAAGCCAGCACAGAGCTGAAGCTATTCCACTGATTCACAAGCCACTGTAGATCTAGCCCTTTGAAACAGATTTTGTAATTATTTGGCTTGTTTTAGAGCCCAAACCCCAAGATGAACAGCATGTTTAACCTCAGAACTTTTACCTGACCTGCTACTCTAGAACTGAATCAAAAGATGAACATGTTTATACAGTGCTTGTTTGGATGTCACTTTTGGCTGCCACAGTCTTTGTAAAGATGCTCCAGATTCTGCTGCAGCATCACATTTCTTGCCACTGACATCCTCATCCTGCTCCTTGCAGGAATTGTTAACTGCATGACTGGTCTAGTGGAAGATGTCCCTGGCCATGGCAGGGGGGTGGAACTGAATGAGCTTTGAGGACCCTTCCAACCCAAACCAGTCTGGGATTCTGACTTGATCCTTGGGTTCTTTCCTGCCCCTCCTGCATCTTTCTAATCAGACACTACCCATTGCATCAAAATTAAGTGCATAATGCAAAACCCTCAAAGTTCTGCACGTGCAGTGCTGAAGGACTTACCGGCGAGTCTGTAGGATCTGCAGAGCCGAAGGAGGATTGAATAAAGAGGCAGAGAGTCAATCAGGTCCACCAGCAAGTGTATGAGGCCTTGCACAATCACCACCAGCAAACGGAGCTACAGAGAAACAATTTAGTAAGAAACTCTGGGTGAAACACGAGATTAAGCAGTTGCAAATTGGATGCTGGAAAGGGACTCTTCATCAGGGACTACAGCGATAGGACAAGAGGTGATGGGTTTAAACTTATGTCTTGGTTTAAGCCCAGCCGGCAACTTGGAACCACGCAGCTGCTCGCTCACTCCCCCCCCTTTTCCTTCCTCCCCCCGCTCCCGGAGGGATGGGGAGGAGAATCAGAGGAATGTAACTCCCACGGGTTGAGATAACAGCTCTCCAGTAACTAAGGTATAATACAAACCACTGCTGCTACCAGTAATAGTGATAAGAGGAATAACAAGGGAAAAGGACACAACCGCTCCCCCCCCGCCGACCGATACCCAGCCCGACCCGAGCAGCGATCTGGGCCTTCCGGGTAACTCCCCCCAGTTTATATACTGGGCATGACGTGCTGTGGTATGGAATACCCCTTTGGCCAGTTTGAGTCAGGTGTCCTGTCTCTGCTGCCTCCTGGCTTCCCCTCCTCTCTGGCAAAGCATGAGACTGAGAAAGTCCTTGGTCAGAGTAAACATTACTGAGCAACAACTAAAAACATCGGTGTTATCAGCATTGTTCCCAGACGGAAAGTCAAAAACACAGCACTGCACCAGCTACTAAGAAGGAGAAAACATGACTGCTGTAGCTGAACCCAGGACAACTTAAAAAGGGGAAGTTCAGGTTAGAGATAAGGAAGAAGTTCTTCCCTGTGAGGGTGGTGAGATGCTGGCACAGGGTGCCCAGAGAAGCTGTGGCTGCCCCATCCCTGGCAGTGTTCAAGGCCAGGTTGGACACAGGGGCTTGGAGCAACGTGGTCTAGTGGAAGGTGTCCCTGCCCATGTCAGGGGGTTGGAACTGGGAGAGCTTTAAGTTCCCCTCCCACCCAAACCATTCTATGATTCTATGAAATTCACAAGCTGATGTGCAATGTGACATTTCTGAGTGCTAAGCTAAATGTTCTGTGCTAAGCAAAAGCCTCCCAAAGTGGGTCTGATGTCTGGAAGGACAGCCAGGCCCTGCACAAGGTTCCTTGACAACCTTAGCTGAAGTGTATGACTGGAACAAAGCTGTTATGACTGTAGAGGCTGTGGCTTCCAAGGACATGAGAGCTAGTCTGCTTCCAATGGTCATAGTCTGAAAGGGAGAATTCAGGCTTCCGTTACTAGTCATCTCCATCACTGTGTGCCAGTGAATGTAAATTCTCCACAGTGAACTGAAGCAGCTTATTTCTGCTTGAAGAAACCCCACGTAGAGCATCTAAGCAAATGCAGAGCAGCCATAAATTAGCTTCCTGCTCAGTGTTTTCTGTCCCCCGAGTAAAGCACCTCCTTTTGTCAGACTGCACTTACTTTTGCTGCCAAGTTCATCTGAAAAGAGAGGGCTCAAAAAAAGGCCTTTGAAACCAAGCGATGGCCACTGTCTGTAGAAAATTTTGCTCCAGGCAGGCCTTAGAGGGGACTGGTCATACAGGGGGAAGAAGAGAAAACTAAAGCAGCCTAACCCTCTGAGCAAAGCCTGTCTGAAAGCATTTAACAGAGCCAGTTAATTCCCTGAAAAAGAAAGTTCTGGATCAAATGAGAGGGGCCATCACCCCAGATGTCGGATGGATTAATGATTTCCAAGTGAAAGAACAACTTGTCCCACTGACCAGGATTTGCTGGAATTCCCTTTGGAGAAACACAAACACATATCCTGAATTACGTGCTTGGCCTACATGGGCTGTGTTAGAAGCCTTCCTGGGACACCCAGACAAATTTATATCCTCTTTGTGGATGACGATGAATGACAAGGAAACCTTTATTTTAAGATCTCAGAAGACAGCATATGATTAGCTTCAAGGGTTAAATCTTACCAGGGTAAACACCAAATAATAGAGTGCAGTTGTAGGCAGGAGGAACAGCAGGATTGTGAACAGCAAAGTGCCAATAAATAACTGGGGGAAAAAAGAGACATAATTATTAGAGAGCAATGGCGAAATAATATGGAAGAGAAATAGAAGAATAGGAAACTGTGAGGCAAGGAAAGTTTGCAAGGCTCCTTCATGTGGTTTTTTACTCCCTGTGTGAATAATGCTGTTACCTTGAATATTTTCAGTCCTTCTTCTCTCACTGGGCCTTTTTAGAAGGCTCCCTATTATAGGAGTATGTTTGGAAAGATAAATAAACTGGATCCTGATTTTTTCCTTTAGAGACAATACTCAAGATTTCCTATTTCAGGCCAGCTTCCTTAGGAAACACGACTTACATTTGCCCACTCCCTATCCCATGAGCTTTAGAGCCATTGCTCAGTTTTTACCAGAAAAGTGTGGAAGCGTACAAAGAAGTAGAAATTTGGTAGGGAATTTTGCAGGGAACTGAGATGTATTTTTGTTCCTCCTTGTTTAAGCACAACAGGCACCTGTTGAAAAGCTGACAAAATTTGGTTGATAAATATTGTCAGCAGCAGGAGTTCTGCCTCTTGCAATGCAGGATACTGGGAGAGAGATAAAAGCTGGAGCTACTGGGATGGGGGAAGCAGTATTTTGAAGATGAAGGAGAAAAATCCCTAGGAAAGCAGGTGTGATGAGCTCCACTGCCCACAGAAAGAGTTATTTTTACTCTGGGACAGCCCAGTTGGCAGAAGTCTAGCTAATTCCAACTGAGAGAAATGCAGATTTATGACAAATAGGGATCTGACTCTTCAGTTTTCAGCCACTGCTTCCCAAACAGAGACCACAGGACCACAGGGCACTGCAACAAACAGATCACGCTTATGGTTTCTTTCATAAGAAAGAAAATAACCCAGAGAGCCGTGTCGCAGAGGTGGATCAACATCCCAGCTTCACGCGTATAACCAGAAATAGATCACAAACCAATCCACTCCTTTCCCAGCAGTTGTTCCTCCTTCCTCTGTCACTCCACTACAGTTGCTTAACATTTCCAAAAGTCTTTTAAGGTCTGCTTTGAATGTCTCTTCCCACCCGGGCCAATGACATCATTCCCACTGGCCTCCAGAGCAGCAAGATGAAGCCTGACGTGCCAAACCCATTCTCCTCAAAGGACCAAGCCCTGATGCAAACTGTGTTCCTGGCACAGTTTGGCTTTTCATCACCAAAGAGACAAGACCAGCTCCTCCACTGTGGTGTAAGAACGTTGAACGGAGCAACAGGCTCTGGCCCTGGAAGCTACCAAATATTATAGTATTATTTTAGTGATGTTTGCAACTGCTGGCATGGAGCAATTGGGACTTTGCTGAACTCTTACTTGGCATTCCAGAAATTAAACAGAGCTCACAGCATTTGGCAAAATCCTGCCTCTGCTGCTCAAGTGAGAACGTGTGGGCCCGGCTCCAGCACAACGTGAATGGAATGGGGCCTTTGAATAGACACACTGGCACGTCTGTTACTGTGGCAACACTGCTGGGTTCCACTTGTACACTGCTCCCTCCCAAGAAACCATCCCCTGCTCCCAAGCTGTGAGCATCTGCAGCACCACAGCTCACCACGGTGCCTGGAGGTGCTTAGCGCTTGCTAGAATTAGGCCCCCTGAACAGGCAGAGCTATGCAGGGCTTGCTGCAGAGCACAAGCATTTGCTTGAAGCTCTGTGTTCAGCACTGGGGGTAACAACACAAGAGGGACATGTAGCTGCTGGAGTGAGTCCAGAAGAGGCCACGAAGATGCTGCGAGGGCTGGAGCAGCTCTGCTCTGGAGCCAGGCTGAGAGAGCTGGGCTGGTTCAGCCTG